TTGTGGAAGTCTCGTGCCTTATTAAGGTATCATAGCGGTAATTGACCAATGAAAATGAACTTAGTCAATTGTAGTTCCATACATATAAAATTATTATTTTTTCCTTTAGAATTTTTTTTTTAATTTCCTTCCAGTCTATTTTTACAATTTTGGTACCTGTGTCTAGTGCATTTTACATATTTTGTAAATAAATAAAGGTTTTTGACAGGAACTATTTTTTCAGGGCATAGGAGGCTATTTCCTGGGGTAGAAGTTTATTTTTCTTTGACTAAGAAAACGGGAAACTTAGGATCCACCCCCTCAAATCTGCTGCCGTTAATTGTCTCGCCAGCGTTAGGGGAATATGGGTGATTTGCATCAATTACACTTTTATTGACTCCATCGCTGTGGAAAAATGGACGGGATTTCTTGGCACGGTCAGAAAAATTGTGTAGATACATGTATAAGATCATTGGCCTTGCTCTTTTAAGGAGCGTTTTTTTTCCCCTAAATTTTTAAATAATTTGTGCATAAATAATTTTAGAGAGTGTTACTTTTGTCTATTGATTATGGTGTTCTGCAGGTTTCATGCATTTCACTCGACCCAGTAAATCAACATTAAGTCATTTTTTGTCTAAATATAATTATTATTTCAAATGAATTTGATGCATTGGAAATGAAATTCAAACAAACAGAAACACGGAAAAGGGGAGGGGGTGTCTTTTACCATACCAAGAAAAGGTACGCATTCTAGTTTTAGAGCGAACTCAATAAAAGCGGAATTAGCGTTAATCTGTGATTTTTCCCCAGGGAGATGTGTGCGAGGCAATTAATGTCAGCAGTTTTGAGGGAAGGATCTTAAGTTTTACTGGTTTGAAATTAAACCTAGAATACTTACTATTTAGAAGCCTTTGCACCTTTTTTCCTGTTGTTTTTTTTTTTAAAGGGGGAGGGGGGGATTTTCCATGCAAATCATATGCGGTTAAAAAAGTACAAAAAAAAAGAAGAAAAAGAAAGTGAAATAAAATGTAGTGAACTAATTAATTGTTCAGTAAAAATTAGACGCCTTTCAAATTTTTCAGTGTTTATATATCAAAATATTTTTTTCCTAGTATAAATTAATATCGGGCACGATGAACTTGGTTGTTGTGGAAGTCTCGTGCCTTATTAAGGTATCATAGCGGTAATTGACCAATGAAAATGAACTTAGTCAATTGTAGTTCCATACATATAAAATTATTATTTTTTCCTTTAGAATTTTTTTTTAATTTCCTTCCAGTCTATTTTTACAATTTTGGTACCTGTGTCTAGTGCATTTTACATATTTTGTAAATAAATAAAGGTTTTTGACAGGAACTATTTTTTCAGGGCATAGGAGGCTATTTCCTGGAGTAGAAGTTTATTTTTCTTTGACTAAGAAAACGGGAAACTTAGGATCCACCCCCTCAAATCTGCTGCCGTTAATTGTCTCGCCAGCGTTAGGGGAATATGGGTGATTTGCATCAATTACACTTTTATTGACTCCATCGCTGTGGAAAAATGGACGGGATTTCTTGGCATGTAATTGATCTGGCCTCATTCACCTTCCCTCAGAGATACATCTATATTGATCAAAAAACTAAATCCCTATTTTAACACCATACGCCAATAAAATGACATTTCAGCTTAAAACAGGGAGGCCCTTAGTGCTGATTACTTTGAAAAAAAAAATGTCTATATTTGTCTGACTTCATGGCGCCAGACAGCACTAGATTTAGCCAAGGCTTGTTGGTCAATTCGTTCAAAAGAAATCGCGTGATAACTCGATCTTGGAAATTTCATTCTATCTTAACTATCAGTTGGAGAGGGAATTAATGAAAACATGCTAAATACCCTAACAAACCGAAGCATTGGGCCTAATTATTATCACATTATACATTACACGTTACATAACACCAGGCCATTCTCTTATATGCATCACTACCATTCATGTACGTTTTGTAAAGCAGCAGGAATAAAGCTGGTCAGGTTAGTTGTCGAATATCCTTTTCAGATTAACTAATAGATGTTTATTTTCAATGCAATACAAAGTCTGTCTACATTTAGAATTACACATATTCCTGACATTGCAGACGTTTGATTTATTCATGGTCAAAAAATATCCAAGTGAAAAATGGTTGATGATAAATTTTTATTTGTTAATATGCGCAGATTTCAGCTCATTTATATCTGGTTTATTATTTTAAAAAATCATAATTATCCCGATTATTCACCAACTGATGTTTAAATTCTTACAGATGTATGTGTTGTAACTTTCTCTTTCAAAAGCACCGGTTATATTTATCTATCCAGGAACAGGCCAGTTGGATGAAATTTCACGAGGAGTGGGGTGCACAACCAAAATTTTCGTGGGCACTATCAAGGGAAAATTCCTTATCAAGCATAGTTATCACGAATACGTTATTTTTACATGATTCATGGGTCATAAAGTAGCTATAATTTTCTATCGCATATAATTATATGTCGGCAAAATACTGAAGGGGGGGGGGGGTCCTCCTCCTCTCCCCAGTTCCTACGGCCATGAAAAAAGAGAAAATTACAGTTACTGCATTGTATATAGAATAAATTCATAGGCGAGTTTTTTTTTTTTTAAGTTGATGCTACTGGATTAAACTTTTCCTGTTTTTTCAGCAAAATAATATATTTCTGGACTCAGAATTGTGTTGATTACGTTGGGTTCAACTTTTCTTAATTCTTCGTATAATATTGAATTTTGCTTACGTCAGAAAAGCTTTTTAAGAAAGCTAATACTTGTGAGGTTTTATAGTTTGCATTCTAAACAGTTTTATGATCTGGTTCGCAGTAATTTAACTGGGTTGCATCTGGTCATAAAACGGGTGTTCTAAGCAACGAAGCATAAAATTGTATAAATTCATTTTAAGTAATTTGGCACGTTCGTTGAGACTCTTTGGTAAAGTATCTTAAATGTATTTTACATGTGTATTCAAATCTGCAATATAAATATTGGATTATTTCGGATTTTGAAGCTGTTCAATTATATCGGTTTTACTTTCGTTTTCATTAAAGTAATTTCGATCTCGATGCTAGTAACCAAATAGGCTAATATGATTTGTAAAGGCATGTAATGGATAGATCGAGGAGAGACACAGTTGACTTTGCCTGCTACATTCATTTATATATTTGAATCCGTATTTGTTCGTCTGTTTATCATTAAATTACACTATTAGTCTGTAGAAATTTAGGTTCAGGGATTTATAGGCTTTTAATTTTATAATTATGAGTATGGTAATAAATAGATAAAAGTGTTTATGTTCTTTTTCAAATTCTACACTATTTCAAATGTCAAGTAAAAGATTAAATGTAGTTAGGTAAAATTAGGAAAGTCAGTAGACTAAATTATGAAATATACATGTGACGCAAAGTAGAGGCTTTAAAGAAGTTTTCATGCCTATGATGTTACATAAGACCTGCGTTGTTCAGTGAATATTTATTTTCTATGTTCTAAAAGTTACAAAAATTGTTCTGCAGTTGTCATATATTCATAATCTTAATTAGGGGGTTCAGTATGGCTGTTAAGGATAAGGGTGGCTGTCTCCTCCGTTGTCTGGATGCAATTGACCAAATCAATCTATACCAGAGGTACATTGTAACTCCACAAGTTTCACTAATACCAGTTACTGAAATTTGCGAAATATAAATTGATGTTTAACTGGTTATAGATGTTAATGGCCTACTAATACCTACATGGTATCACCTTTTCAATTGTCAACTTAGTTTATTTATCTAGTTACATTCAACAATCACCTGCATATGATGTTTACGTTTTCGAGCAAAAGCATGATTAATCTTTTGTCATCCTTAATACATGACGACTTCAAGAGTATTCTTTCTGCAATATCCATAATCCCAAAAATTATGTGTATTCTGGTGTTATTTCTCGCAATAGAACATGTACATGTAAATGTTACAAGATTGAGGTAATTAATTATATGTATAATTTATGCCCGTGACTAAGCCTCAGACTACGATATATAATTATCAAATGAATCTTTTTCCAAGTCAAGAATTAGAAAGAAAAAATATACCATTATATTTTTTTGGCATCCATTTAAATGGTTTTAATAAAAATACATTACGGAAATTATTACGCATACACAAACACTGCTTTTTAAGAAACGATAACTGTATGCCAAATTGATCCTTAGAGTTATATATCAATTTTGATTGTGGTCTGATGTGCTATATGATACATATCTTCATATCTATACTTTTACATAGTAACTACTCATGCATATTCCAAAATCGATGTATATAGCGCAGAAAAAGTAAAATACATGGATACCCACTAACCATCCCTACCGCATGTTGCGCTCTCGACCTTCGAAACTTGTTGTCTAGATGTATAGGAACATTAAATATATAATTTCCGATTATTTAAAAGCACATTCATAATGAACTCCTTATTAACTTACAATAACAACTAGACGAAACCTGATAGAAAGCAGTTCCAAAACTGCTTTCTGAGACTTAGCAGTCCCTCAGTGGTCTAATATGAGTCCTAGAGCAGTCTCATAGCGATCTTAGAGCTGTCCCATGGCGATCATAAGAGTTCTAGAAAGTTGCCCCATCAATCCAAGCGGTCGCAGAAAACTATCCCAGTTGGTGTGGTTAATAAATTTAATGGGTGGAGCTTTGTCCCAGCTGAGATTAAAATTTGTTGTATCAACAAATGATGTCAGTATGATAGAGACAATCAAAAGTAATGATGCACTTTTATTTTGGAGAAAACAGTGTATATTGAACATGTTTTACATGTACATGTAACAATTCATCTTCACAATTCTTATATGATATTTATTTTTGAAGTTTAACAAATTTACAGTATATAAGGGCATGTACACAAAGAAAAATAATTTTAAAATAAAACTTTTCAAAAGACTTTTATTCTATGTCTTATAATGTCATGTAGTCTGGTTTTTTTTTCTTTTTTTCCTTGCTAAAATTCATCACATTTATTTCAGATTACTTTGTATTTTGGTTGCGATCACTCCATGTTTATTGCGAAAATGACACTCCTGTGATAATTGTAGCTTCCCATCGAGATCAAACGGATGCTGAGGTATATTACTTTATTTTTTCATCTAATCTCGAGAAAACTCATAATAACCTAGGAACCTACAATCAGGCCTGAAAAACCTAGAGAAAACCTTTTTTAAAATGTGGAACATTGTAAATGCTTCACGCTACATGTTGTATATTGGTTAGAAGAACCCATACATGTTGTAAGTTCGTAAGAGGCATCCAAAGATACTTTAATTCTGTTCTTCAGATCAAGAACAAAATGTTATGTTTAAGCTCTAAATTTCTTTGTTTAATTTGTTTACGTCTGGCAGTTTTCTTTTCTTGAAATTTAAGTGCCTCCTCTGTGCTGTATAATAATATGTTATATACACTCTCAATTGTCGACAGATTTTTTTGTTATTTCTCGATCATGACAAGCAGCGCACGGCGAGTGTGACCGGTCGGCAGGGGATGCTAACTCCTCAATGGCACCTGATCCCACCTCTGATGTCTTAGAAGTCCGTGTTTGCTCAGCTCCAAAATTTGTATTGTTTAACGGAATTTTGAGTTTGAATACTGTTCGTTATCTCCGTATATTTCATCGTTTGGGATTTTGTGAGGTAATACTGATCTCAAATGTTGAAATAAGTATAAGATAATTATTTTCCATTCCCAACAAAATATCTACTATCATTTACGTAAGAAAGGAAAGTATTTACGATCAATTATTGTCTCGCCATATCTTGCTATTATTAGGCAAAAGACTAGTCACAGTCTCCATCGAGATAATGAATATTCCCTTTCTTATGATAAATTATTTTCTTCAATAGCACAAATTTTTTTAACAAAGAGAATCAGAAACTATATATTGCAAATGGTGTTGCTCATGAAACACTTAGCAAAGCATAGCATTAAAGCACTGAAAGCCCATTTAAGCTTTTATAAATATTATGTCTAACACTTACTGCGATTTTTTTTTTCAGGCATTAAAAATACCATTTTTTGACAAACTTTTAGAGTCCCTTCCTGAACAACTAGACCTAAAAAGGCATCTTAATTTTAAGAGGTACTTTTCAATTGGACTGGGAGTTGAAGACGATATAGAAAATCTTAAGACATGCATATTTGACCTAGCTACAAATTTGCCTACATGGGGTGAATATATTCCAGCAAAATGGGAAGCATTCGAATGCAGTATCTTAAAACGAACTGACAAGATAATGCATAAAAGTGAGTTGCGATCTATGGAAATTTTTCCTTCTGATGTCATAGATGATATGTTGCGATTCTACCATGAAACTGGCGTGATTCTTAATTTTAACGAAGGGCATTTGGCAGATATCATTATTCTTGATGTTCAGTGGTTTGTAGATGCTTTTAAATTAATATTCAGTGATGAAAATCATGTGAAACAGATGGCCTTATATACAGCCGAATGGCGTGATTTAAACAGCACAGGCGATCTGAATGACAATTATTTACAGAGAATCTGGAACGGAAATAATTCTTATATACAAAATAAAGACAGACTTCTTGATTACATGCAAAGACTTGGGCTTATAGCGAAAGGATCGTCTTCGCATTATGTCCCATGTATGAATAAAAAGAATTTCGATGAACATGAACGACTCACGCTCAGGAAATGTTCTTATAAATCGTCCATTCTCATGTTCAGATTTGATTTCCTACCGTACTTTATTTTTTGCAGACTTGTAGTTGCCTGCATGTGTGCAGAAGGTGGTGCTTGGAAAACATTATTAGATGAGAAGAATGAAAGAAAAGCATTGTACAAAAATACAGCAATGTTCACTTATGAAGAAAATATAGTCGTCCTTTCTGTAACAAATGAAAGCATTCTCACTCAGGTTTTTGTCCGAGGGAGAAAAAAAATTTCAAAGATTGCAATTCAGTCAATTCGTCATTCCTTAATAAACAATTTGGAAAAAATTACAGGAACTTTTCATAAAAGTCTAACGTATGAGATTGGATTCGGCTGTAAAAAGAAAATTGTTGGTGAGTTTTCTCCTGAGAAAATTGGGTTCGTTCCTGAATCGGATCTAAAGAAAAAATCGGAGATTTCATGTCCGTTTCATCAGCGTAGTGGATTTCACACCATTTATGCACAGGAGTTATTTGTGGATTGGAATCCAAATCATGTAAGGCTATTCATTACCTTTGTATAGTTATATGCATCTTAATTAACCTGTTTTGGTTTCTTTATTTAAGGCTACCTTTTCTAAAACAAATGAATCTGTCAAGGTAGGGTAGTGGTAGGGCATTCGCCTTGTGATCTGTACGATTCTTGTTTGCCGGGCCGCGTCAAACTTAAGACGTAAACATAAATAGTGATTGTTCCTTCGCCAAGCGCCCAGATGTAGATGCAAAAGTCATTGGCCTTTTGGTGAAACCTTAAAAATCGGGTCCAGTGTCACGGCAGGCGTCAGTACGATAAAGATCTCTCACTGCTCAATGGCCCTGAGTGGCGAGTATAGATCTAAATTTGAAGCCCTTCACAGATATATGGTGACGTCTCTATATGAGTAAAAAAAATTCTCGATTGGGACGTTAAACAAATTCAATCGATCAATCTAAACCATATGCTTTTATATTTTTATGTAATGCCAAAAACGGTTAAGGTCTATTTATGTTTATATTTTTGACCATTTTGAAAATCTATTTCTATTACAGTACAGAAAGGGAATAAACTGGACAAAGTCGTTATTATTCTGGGTGAGTTTTTTTCTTAAATTGTTCTGGCAAGCATTATTTTTGTTAATGTGTTCCAGTCAAAAATTCTTTTACTAATAATTTATTGGTGAATTAAAAAAAAAAAAAACAATAATTAGCATATAAACATTAACTTTAGATTTTGAAAAACAGATGGATTGAAGATGTTTTTATTTATTAAAAAGAACTGTAAAATGTGAAATGTGATGGAAATATTTTTTATTAAAAACATGTATATATACGAGGGTTGTTCAGAAAGTTCGCGGACCATGTCAATCTTCGTTTTACTTATTTTCAAGAAATTTAAAATGAGCAAACTAAACAACATTGTTATGTCAATAACATAGCCTCATAAGTTTCTCAAAAATACTCTCCATATATATATATATATATATATATATATATATATATATATATATATATATATATATATATATATATATATATATATATATATATATATATATATATATATATATATATATTACACAGTCTTACCAAAATACCCACTCATTAAAAACGATTCTCTATCACTTGAAATTTATTCCAGGAGCATTATTTTGTTTGTCGATGTTTTAATTTCTTTTACGTGGCGCAGTGGTTAGAGCGTTCGCTCTAGAGTCGCGGAGTAAGGTTGATCCTTACGTCGCGGGTTCAAATCCCACTGTGGGACGTGGAGACCAGTCCTTCGGATGAGACCGTATAAACCAAGGTCCCGTGTCGCATTAGGTGCTGGCACGAAAAAGATCCCTCACTGTTCAATGGCCCTGAGTGCCGAGTAAAGGACAAAATTTGCAGCTCTCCACCGTAAGTGGTGGCGTCTCCATATGAGTGATAAAATTCTCGAGAGGGACGTTAAACAATAAACAGACAAAAAAAAATAATTTCTTTTACCGTGTAACTGTGCTCTCTCTTTTTTCCATGATCTTACTAACTTTTTTAAGGTTTTTGATCATATTTTTTCAGACAATCCGTTTCCTCACAGACTGTCCACTTCTTATACAGAGTCTTTACCATTCAAATACCAGCTGTGCCATTTACACACACATGCACGACTTGCTTTAAACATATATCCTGCTTCCTCCAGCATTTTCAGAGTTTATCCTGAAGTTTTCCCGAGTACAACACAAAATTGTATCGCTTACTGCTGCTTTGTGACGTTCTGCATCGTCATCTTTTTTAGCCTTTTTCAATGAGGACTACATATGTTCGGAAATTGATTTTTTTTTCAACGATGCAAAATATTAAGTCATTATTTGGAAAAGAAAAACGATGAAACAATTCTTAATTTGAACATTTGAGACATTATTTTGTGTAGTATTTGTAAATTACTCACATTTGACCTTCGCCGCGATCACATTTTCGAAGTTTTTAATTTTAAAATAAATCAAGATATCTTTAAAACTTTTGATACACATCATTCGAATTTATTGTTAAAACATTAATACCAAATTTGTTTATTATATGACATTAAGTAAAAAAAAAATTATAACAGAAATCCGCGAACTTTCCAAAAACCCTCGTATTGTGTAAAGTAATTGAAATTACACAGCATTTTGTCAGTACTAGTTTAATTAAATAAAGGTGTATCCAAAGTGTTCCTAGCTTGAAAAACTCATGATATCTTTTGATAATTTATAATTTTGTTTGCAGTCACGAGAGAATTTGGAAAATGAAAGCACATCCGAGGTGTCAGAACTTAATGAAAGTCGCGAAGAAATCGGTAATGTAATTCTTGGACATTCACGGTACATTTTTATCTTAATTTTCATTTAAACTGTGATTTGAAGAAATTCACTTGTGTGTGTTTGGGGGGGGGGTGTTTTATTGGAGATATTACACTTTCACAAAAAGTAATCTGCAAGCAACACATAAACATGTGTTCTCTGAACATCTTCGTAACTTGATGGCATGTTTTTGCATTCAAATCTACTCAAGGCAATGAAAATTTACATAAAAACTAAGTACTTCTCCATTTTCAAAATGAAGTAATCGATACCTATAATTGCCTTAGGACATTTTTCCCCTTTATTTTTCACATTCGATAGATTCTATTGATAAATATTGATATCACATATTTTCAACTCTAAAATCAAAGATTTGTTGTAATTGTAATAATGTATTATAATACAGATAAAGAGAAACATGGATCTGAAATTGAAAATATCCAATTGTCTGATGAAGAGTGGAAAAAACATTACCATAGTGTATTTATTAAACTGACAGCAATTTCTAGAGATGCATTACAACTTTATTTCGACGGTAAATTTTCTGAAAGTGATTTAGAAAACGTACTCTCGACCTACAAAGACGAAATGAGGAAGGGTCAATACAAATTTGTTGAAGAACAGCTATTGATTTTGTATCCAGGTTCGTTCAAAACATGTTATATAATTTATAGTTTATGTTAAAAGATGACGTCACTTTTTCTATATAAGGGTTATAATGCTTCATAATTTCAAATTTTGTATAAAAAAAAAAAATCATTCTTTCAGTGGTGTTCAATCCACGCACTTCCCTTTTCTGCTAGTGTTGTATGACTATGAAATCAAGCACGTAGTGATAATAATATGATAACAATGAATAACAATTGCTGATTGAACAGTAAAATTTAAATTAATTGCAAAATTTTAGGATCAATCAGTCAGTAAAATAAGCCAGATAATTGTTCGTGTGTATATGTACGCCTTTTTATGCATTTGTATTAAATGATGTGCTTCATTTAAATTGATCACTGTTCTTTTTTACATTTCTCACATCGAATGTTGTAATGCTTATTTTGTTGAAAAAATCTTTGCACTTAAGGTGACGGAAGTTGTCCTTCCTCTTCAAAGTTTGACGTAACGATAATGTACAAATTGCTTAGAAATTATGGTAAAGATTTGCCTGAACCAAGTCAAGGTTGGGGAAAGACTCCAAAGATTGGAGACACAAAGGAAACCGACGACTTGGAAAGGATCCGGTATTACAGAAACAAGTTTAGTCATGCAACACCAAAAACTAGTTTTATGGAGAAGGATGAATTTCAAATGTATTGGATGGACTTATCTCAGGTAAAATATATTTTATTTTGTTGTTTGTTTGTTTGCTTAACGTCCCTTTTGAGAATTTTTCACTCATATAGAGACGCCACCACTTGCCGGTGGAGGGCTGCAGATTTAGACATGTACTCGGCACTTGCGGCCTTTGTGCACTGAGGGATCTTTTTTGTGACAGCACTTGCTGCTACACGGGACCTCACTTTATACGGTGTCATCCGAAGGACCGGTCCTGCAGTCGGATTCGAACCCGCGACGTAAGGATCAACTACTTACTTTGAAACTCTAGAGTAAACACTCTACCACTGCGACACGCTGGCTCATTTTGTTTTATCACTTTTTATTGAATTAAAATTCTTGAAATACTTTGTTTCTGGTTTAAAATTAAAGAAACAAGGTACAAGGCGATTGCTTTTAGAATAACCTGCACTTATATATGGGAAACATTTTTTCTTAATACAAAGTAAATTGAATCATAATATTAAAATAGTACAGGATATTTTAAGACATAAGTGTCGTAATATTGGAAGTTAATTAAGCATAGTTCAATGTTATCTTATCCTTGTTACTGTTTTACGATGCTTGTTATTTACTTTCATTTAGGCGGTATTGAGAATAAGCAACAGAGAATTAAAAGCAGACGTAGATAAACTGGAAAAACAAATTGGAGCAAAAAAATGAAATGTAAAGACCTTAAGCACTTCACCCTTACAACAGTGATGCCCTTGAAAAATACATTTATATTGCGAAAATGAATCTACTTTTCACATTAAATCTTGCAATTGACTTTTTTCATGGACAAAAAGTAATCATTTCGTCTTGCTGTTTAAAGGGAAAATCGTCCGTTCACGAAATAAAATAATATTCTACATTATTTTGGTATTCCAAGCCTATCTTAAAAACGAATACAGGTATTTTTATGATGTGCGTAGAAGTACATGCATATGAATGCGTAAAATCTTATAAAAAGTTACTTTAAAATATTATGTTAAGATGATACGTGTCTTTTTCATCTTAACTCTATCATGTCACTAATCGAAGATTGAGTATTTTTGTAGTGGTTTTATCAAACAAAACCACCCTGAGAAGCATTTAGTCTCTAGTAATACTGTTTTTCTTTCGGAATTCAGATAAATGCTGTTGTAAGTGAGTGAGAGAGAGAAAGAAAGGGAGTTGATTGATTGAGATGTAAGATTCGAACCTATCCAATTCTTGATTTGAATAATGTGAATGAATTTCCTTCGTATACAATTTAAGTTTTTTTTTTCTGGACTTCGCTGATTGTAATGCATTTCTGCACTGTCCATCCTTATCCTACACAGAACTTACAAAACAGAGAAACAAAATATAAATACTATACTGTACAATACGTACTAAACAAGCAAACATGTAGAGTATCATCAAGACGGTTGTATGTTGTTCGATCTCGATGGGAGTTTTATACATATATATTAATTGTTTACAAACAGAACAACACAGCATTTTTTGAACAGAAAACACTTGAAAGACATTTATAGTTAATAGTTTTATATGTCTTTCAAAAAAGAAGAGTAAACCTACTACGGTTCAAAATATTAAGGATTACGCAGACACCCTTGTGCTTATGCTAGGTATTCTATGGTCTGGAGATTTTTCCGCAAGTTTGAATCAGTTTATAGCTCAAATGCAAAACAGTGTTTGCAATCGTTTACTAGTGTCTAACTGTTGCACAAACGACGAATGAAACATGTTGCTCCCTCGTGTCATTATGACCACGACCATCGGGTATCTGCACATAACCATCATTATTATATGGGGTAACTACTACCTATCCTTGGGTTTAGGCATATGCAATATATATTTATTTGATTTATATATACCATAAGATTCATTACTAAATCTGTTTCAAAATTCATTTCTTAAATTGTGTCTATCCAGGTTTTAATTTGTAAATTACTCACATCACAATGTGCATGTATATTGTATATTCCTTAATAAAGATTATTTTTATCAGGGTTAAGAGTATACTAAATCTGTTGTAATTTTAAGGCTAAAATATTAATCCTTTATATCCTTAACGTTTTATATATAGTACCTTCTCTATTTCCATTATCTAACTTATGGTGAATACGATATTTTTTATCATTAACTGGTTTCAACTACCCTTATTTATCAGTTTTATTCATCTATGCCCTAAGGTAAAGTGATATGGTTGTGAAATATTTTTTTTATACAAAGAGCGAGAGAATTCCGAAGCTAATAGAGAGAAAATAAATCACCTCAATTAATGTATGAAAGCAGCTATACATAGAATGTTAATTGGGAAATTTGTCGTTAAAAAAAGCATGCGCATACGTAATTTGAAGTGTAATTACAATATTCACATCGGAATATACCTTGAAAATATCTGTAGAAAAATGCAAAAGAATTCAGAGATGACAATAAATCACAATAACAATTAAAACACGTTTCACTCAAACCAAAGTCATGTTTGGTTTCCAACATTGGTTTCCATTATTTAATAATAATAATTAAAAAAAAACAAACAAAAACAAGAGGCCCATGGGCCACATCGTTCACCTGAGCACATTGGCGTGAATTTTAAACTACCTGCTGATGCTTCCATGTCAATATAACAAATGGCTTTGTTGTACTTGAGAAGATTTTTTAAACAATTTCCCATATATTCCTTTGTAAAAATTTGATCCCCCATTGTGGCTCCTCCCTATCCCAGGGGTCATCATTTGAACAAACTTGAATCTACACTACCTGAGGATGCTTCAATATCAATATGACTAAACATAGCTTTTCTGTTCTTGAGAAGAAATATTTTTTCTATATGTTCTTATGTAAAACTTTCCATCCCCTATTGGGCCCCACCCTACCCCTGGGGGTCATCATTTGAACAAAATTGAATCTACATTACCTGAGGATGCTTCCATATCAAAATGACTAATCATGGTTTGCAGTTCTTCAGAAGAAGAGATTTTCCTTTATATTTCTATGTAAAACTTTGATCCTCCATTGTGGCCCCGCCCTTCCAAAGGGGGTCATGATTTGAACAAACTTGAATCTACACTACCTGAGGATGCTTCCATATAAATATGACTCATCATGGCTTTGCTGTTCTTGAGAAGAAGATTTTTAAAGATTTTTCCTATATATTTCTATGTAAAAATTTGATCCTCCATTGTGGCCCCGCCCTACCCCCAGGGGTCATGATTTGAACAAAATTGAATGTACACTACCTGAGGATGCTTCCACATGAGTTTCATCTTTCTTGGCCCTATGGTTCTTGAGAAGAAGATTTTTAAATGATGCCATTATTTTTTTCTTTAATTCCTCATTATCTCCCCTTGAAAAAGGGCATGGCCCTTCATTTGAACAAACTTGAATTCCCTTCACCCAAGGATACTTTGTGGCAAGTTTGGTTGAAATTGGCCCAGTGGGTCTTGAAAAAAGTCGAAAATGTGAAAAGTTTACAGACAGACAGACGGACAGACGGACGGACGCCGGACAAAATGTGATCAGAAAAGCTCACTTGAGCTTTCAGCTCAGGTGAGCTAAAAAAAAGGGGGGGCTAACATTAATGAAATATTTTTTTTCACTATCATGTTCATATGATGCATGCATCCTAACATACGCACCTCAGTTCATGCTATCTATTGCAAAAATATCTTAGTTAACCAACTATAGGTCTATTTCACAAATCTGTCCTATAACTACATGTAACATCTGGCTTTAAACCGAATATTATCTTAAAAGATTGTATCATTGCTGTTTCACAAAAAAATCTAATTTCTCATAATTTTAATCTTAGTACAACCAGAATGAAATAAACTTAAGAAGGTGGTAATCTATATTTTGGTTCTAAACAGAAGGGAAGTGAACGGTATTTAGAGACAGGAACTAGGTCTGATGAATTATTTACAGCTGAGAGATCAGAAGGGACTCGAAGTCCTAACCCTACTCACACCTCTCTAGGATTTTCAGAGATATCAGACTTACATAATAAAGTAATCGGAAAGTGAGCCCTGATCCCGCATATCCATCGTAAGTCGCTTTATAAGGAAGCGGCTTGTCCATTACAAACAAAATTTTACTTAAGTTTTATCGTTGAATATATGTCAACACTTCCCTATTTAGTTTGATTTCTATATATGGTATGTTTCCATCTTTACAAAAGCTGGGTATGAACCCATGAACTTCCGATCATATAGGGAGCGCTTGATCCTGTTAGAATCTTTGAATGGTTAATATACACATGATTTTTTTTTTCATAAAACAATGGAAATGAAATATCAATTTAAGACAGAGATATGTCGATATGATATCGCTTTTTAGAAGAAACATTTTTATTTCATTTCAGTTGTTTTCATCGTTACTGTGATTTCAGATCCTTAATATTGATAATCTATTATCTTTTTTACCCAATAATACATACATGGATCTTTAAATAAGACATAAGGATATTTTTATGTTACGTGATGATGTAATGCAAAAAAAGTCGTTTTGATTAATGATTATATCAAATAAATGTACTCATTTTGTTTTTTTGTTTGTTTGTTTTTTTTTTTTTCAATTATTTATTTTATTTCATTTTATTGTTAAATTACGAAAGCCGAGAAGGCTCATTCGAGATTCGAGTTTCGAAATACGAGATTCGAAATTCGAGTTTCGGGATTCAAGATTCAAACTAACCAATCAAAAGACGGTTTAAGATTTAAGAGGCAGTCCACCGAAAAACCAGGCAATGGGTGGCACATCGCATGTCATGGATTTTAATTATTTTTTGCATGTAGACTTATTAAAGCAAGTGTTTACACATGACAAGATTAAAAAAATTTTAGTGCTCCTCTAGTCCTATTTTTGGTAAATGCTTAATTTTAAGTGCAAAAAGGTCAACATAAGGGTAAAAAAAATTACTACGTTTTTATTTTGTTTTATATGTAACAGATACTCAAAAGCTGGATGTGTCGATGAATATTATTTATAGCATAGACTCTTATCTTTTATTTTATTAATGAATAAGACTCCAATTTATACTTCTTTAGAAAAAATTATATGGTCCAAATTTGAGTTAAGCAAGTAACTTTTTGACTTCAGTATCCAATTTTCATTACGTTATAAAACCCAATACATTACAAGGACAGATTTTTTTTCTTATGTTATTATGAATACAAAGTACAAACTTTTGAATCACTCAATAAAATCAGTGGGAACAGGTACATTGAAAGAAATAAAAGGAGTCAAATTTACCTTTTTTTTTTTTTTTTTAATAATTTTCCCAAATGAAACCGATCCCGACCGGAATTATATAAAGAAAAAAATACTATAATTTTAATGTTAAATTTGGCTCTTTTGTTGTAATATGAGTAAAAACTTACTTGATTTATTTTTTTAACATGTTATATAGGTGGCAGGTGCCTTTAGTTTGATAAATTTGTTAATTTTGCATTATTTTCGATCGGATCGGGATCGTTTTTTACTGTAAATTTAGAAACATTTCCTAAATTTGGCTCTTCATTTTGATTTATCAGAAAAATATGCTTGTCTTTTATTTCTTTTCAGTCAGTTAACTGTTTTTAAATGAGTGTAACCATAGATTCAAATTTATATAATATTTAAATTACTAATGTCTTTTACGTACATGAAGATTACATGTAAAACATCTGATTGAATTCTTAATAGATACTCGGTATTTAAAAAAAAAGTATTTGTACATGCATTATGCAACAAATGAGAGCAGACAGCTTTCTAGCTTTATTATTTATCTTATTTCCAAGTAAAATTTCTTTTTTTTATTTCCTCAGGAATTAAAGAGTAAATTCTATTAGTGGCGAAATTAAACTTGCCTAAATACAGGAAA